TATATATAATTTTTTTAAGGGCTGAGGATGTAACAGAAGATCCTGGGTTCAGTGCTCCTCCCCTGCCCCAATAGTGAGATTTCTCCCAATTGTGGGGGCGGGTGCGTAGATGGAGAGAAAAGGCAAGGGGAGAAATGGGTTGAGCCTGTTTCTGGCACAGGGTTAGCCAGGATGGGAAGGGCAGAAAATGCACTCAAGCATCCCACATCTAATCAAAATATCAAAATATCAAAATGTGCCCTGGTCTTTCCACTTCTCACCTGTCTTCTCAGACCTGTTCCCAGGTGTCCCCCCCCCTCCCATTTCTATTATCTTTTTTTTCTTTGCTGGAACCGGGAATTGAACTCAGGCCCTTGTGCTTGCCAGGCAGGCGCTTATTCTACTGAGCCCCTTCTCCCCAGCCCCTTCTATTATCAATTAACAGCATTCAGAGGAATCTATTAGACTCAAAATTAGCCCATGACCCTCCCGTGCTCAGAAGTCCACAGAGACCTGCATCCCATTCACTCACAGAAGTTTTGAACCAGGGATTGAACTCAGGCCCTTGTGTTTGCCAGGCAAGCGCTTATTCCACTGAGCCATCTCCCTGGCCCCACTCACAGAAGTCTTTGTTCTAGCCAAAAGATCCTATATATTTAAAACTCTGCTTTCTTCTACCGTTCCAGCCAAACCGGGCATCTCAGGGTGCTGGGTGCAGTCTGATGTAAGGGCCTTAGCACTTCCTCTCCCCTGGATCTCCATACTCACTGACATCTTTCCCTGACCAGCCCTTTCATTCTTTTTCGATTGCTCAGGGAGGTCTTGCCTGACTACCCTGTCTAAAACAAATCCTCCTGGTATCTTTCACAGTACCCTGTACTCATGGTGGTGCATCCTGTAAGCCAGCATTCAGGAGGCTGAAACAGGAGGATCACCGTGAGTTCAAGGCCAGCCTGAGCTACATAGGAAGTTTAAGGCCTGCCTGAACTACATAGTGAGATGGTGTCAAAAAGAAAACAAACTTAGGGCCAGCCAAATAGCTCAGTGGATTAAAGCCTGGGGTTCAATCCCTGGACCTGTCATGCCAGCCCCACCCCCCAGGGCACACTGTGAGACAGTGATTGAGACTGGGCACACCTGTAATCTCAGCTCTTGGGAGGCTGTAAACAGGCGGATCACTATGAGCCCGATTTAGTAGTGAGACCCTGAACACCCTGTAGACCCTTGCCTAAAATACAAAAGAAAAACAAAACAAAAGAAACAAACAAAAATCACCCCATGACTTACATCTCATCCAGACAAAGCTGTAGTCCTCGAAACTTGATCTGCAAGGTCTTGTGTGACCTTTCCAACATCACTTACCACTCTCCCTTGCTCACTCCACTTTAGCCCATTTCATCATCAACTTATATTACACCAGCAAATTCATTTATCATATTTGCTGCGAGACATCTGTCTCTATTTGCTACAATGTAAGCCCCACAAAGATAGGGATCTTCGTTTTGCTCAATATAAATTCTTCTGTTCCCTTTGTTTTACTTTTTGAGACAAGGTCTCACCATGTAGTTCAGGATGATCTTGAAATCACTATGTAGCCCACACTGGCCTCAAACTCACTTCGATCCTTCTGCCTCAGCCTCCAAGTGCTGGGATTATAGGCATGTGCCACTGTGTCCAGTTCAGTATAGTTTCTTATTAATAACTATAACAGTACCAGTTAATAGGTATTTGGGAGTTGGGACCCTAATCACTTTGATGCCTAACCCAGTTGGGGAAACAGTCAAGAATATCTTCTGATGGGCCAGGGATATAGCTCAGCAGCACAGTTCCTGCATGGCAAGTGCAAGGTCCTGAGTTCAATTCTTTTTTTCTTTTTTTTTTAATTTTATTTATTTATGTGTGTGTGTGTGTGTGTGTGTGTGTCCAGCTCAGCCCACCAGGGGGTGGGGCTGGCTGGCATGTGGTGCTGGGGGATTGAACCGTGGTCTGTGTGCTTTGCTAAGCTTGTTCTAAGTAGGTGCTCTAGACCACTGAGCCATCTCACCAGCCCTGAGTTCAATTCTTGGTACCCAAAAATAAAAAGTATCTTCTGAGTGAGCCCCACTGGGATGAAGCTGACCTCAGGGCTTTGAGTGATGGAAGAAGAAGAAAAGATGGCAGAAGATAAAACCAGAGTGAGAACAGAGCAGCCCAGGTCCTCCCCAAGGGTGTCACCTGTGTCTGGACTCCGCGTTTCTGTCTCTTTTGTCTCTACAGGTCAGTGCAGCCCCGAAGAATCCCTGGGTGGGCAAGAGCTCAGAAGAAGGCCTGCCCCCCTTCCTGCCCCTGTACCCTAGGTCTCCACCCCTTAAGCCAGGAGACCCTGTCTTTGCTGTTTATATATATATATATATAATATATATTTATTATATATATAAATATCTATTTATCTGTCTGAGCCCTGCCCTCACCCACTTCCCTCATGCATTTGAGGCCCAGTCTTCAGTGGATTCCTTCCTTACCCCCATCTCTTCCTCTGCATCCCTCAGCCCCTCTCTGTTCCTGGCCCTGTCCCCTGAGGTTAAAGGGCTCTGGAAGGGGGACAAGGAGGGAACAGGCCTCAGCTATTTGGGGAGGGTGAACGTGATTTCTGACTCTCCTCTTTCCCCTCCTGCCTCCTAACTCTGGCCTTGGTTCCTCCAGCAAGGCCTGAACAGAGGCTGTAATGGGAAAGTGAACCCCTGGGGTGGGAGAAAGGAGAGACTGGAATGGGATCTGGGGTAGAAAGGACAACTTCACACCCACAGTGGTCTGGGTGGAGAGCTGTGGCATGAAGGGGACTGGTCTGTAGGGCTAGGTTCCAGACTTGCTGGATCTGGAGTTTAGAGGGTGAGACATGGCTCTAGAAGGGGGTGCTTTCAGTGATGGGAACAGGTAGGCTCCAGAGTGGGCAGGTCTTGGATTGGAATGGTAGCTTGGAACATTCAGGAGTGAGCTTGATTATAAGGGGAATAGATTTTGAGTGGGGCATGAAGTAGTGTTTAAGAAAGGGACAAGCTGGGGGTGAGGTCCTACTGAGGGTTCCAGACAGGGCAGCACATAGAGTGGGGCTTGTCTGGTGGTTTTAGAAGGAGCAGCCCCTCCCTGGAAGGCACAATAAGGAAAGTGCTTTAAAGTGAGAGGGTTTGGGCAGGGGGGTGGGGGGCTTAGAAGCTGCAGGATAAATTTAATTAAGGGTAGGAGGGGAATTGTGCCTGCCCAAGGCTGGGGACCTTAATGGCCTGGGAAGAGCTGAGTGACAAGGTTTGGAGAGTGAGGGGTGGGATCCAGACAAAAATACCCACTCACACTTGCCCACACCCTTGGTCACACAGCTAGGTAATCCGAGGACAGAGCCAATGGGTCTGTGGGGCTGGCCTCCCCCTTTCCTTGCCCCTCTCTCCCTCCACACCTCCACCCATCCTGGGGTGTTTGGAGGCCTGGTCTGGAGCCCCTATCCTGCACCCTCTGCTGTGTCTGTGATGTCGGTAGTGCCTGTGATCGTGTGTTGCCATTTTGTCTGGCTGTGGCCCCCTTCTCCTCCCCTCCAGACCCCCTCTTCCTGCACCCTTCGATATTGTTTGAAGACCCCCTCCCAAGGAAGAGCAAACATGAGTAATTCTCCCCAAATAAACTCCTCAACCACCTAGTCCACCTGGCTCTAACTTCTTTTATTTTTTGTTCTTTTTTTCTTTTTTTTTAAGACAAGGTCTCTATGTAATTCAGGCTGTCCCTGAACTCACAGCAAACTTCCTGCCTCAGCCTCCTGAGTGCTGGAATTTCAGATATGTGCCATCACACCCAGCCTCTAATTTCTTAGTATGTCTTTCTTGGGTCAGAAGGGAAGCAGTGGGGGAGAGGAAGCTCTGAGCATGATCCACAGGTAGCCGCCAAGCATCCTGTGCAGCCTTGCTTACCCATCATTCTAAGTCACACACTGTAGAGCTCTGCATTCTGCCCTGCTACCAGCTGCCCAATACCCAGTCATTCTGGGCTTCAGTTCTCACTCTGCTCCCTTAGCCAAGAGCCTTCCCAGCCCCTGCGGAGCCCTCTCCTCCAAACTGCTGACTAGGAATGTGACCAGCACTCCAGAAGAAATCTTTAGAAGCTAGACTTTTTTCTTGTTGAGGTAAGCAATTTCTCCAGACGTGGGGCTGGTGAGATGGCTCAGTGGTCTAAAGCACCTACTTAGAACAAGCTTAGCAAAGCACAGGTGACCGCGGTTCAATCCCCCAGCACCACATGCCAGCCAGCCGCGCCCCCTGGTGGACTGAGCTGGCCACACACACACACACACACACACACACACACACACAAATAAAATAAAATAAAATAAAAAAATTTCTCCGGACTTCCTCCTGCTGAGCACAGAAGCAGCACTTTCTCCCCTTAGCCTAAAGTAAGTGGCAGTATATATAGATGTGAGCCCCAGAGCGTTGGAGTCAGGTTCCTTCCAAGCAAGAGGAATAAAGCAAAAGTGGCTGGAAATGAAAGCGCAAAGGTGGAGGTCTCCACCATCTCTCTGCTCCCCTCATCCACCTGTACAGGGGACTTCTGATGTTGAATTGAGGCAAATGGTTAGTCTGCAGAGCTGGCTTCAAATAAATCCTTCTTTCCTTTTCTACCAAAATACATGGTCTTTTGGGTCATCTGCAAGCAAAAGAACCTACACATCTGAATCTGAGTGACCCAAAAACAGGGAGACCTCACCCCACCCATCCACCTCATCTTCATATCCTGCTATCTTGCCTCTTCCTCGCCTCTGCCCTGGCTGCAAACTGCAAGACCGGCTGGGTTGGAGGGGGGAGGCACGTCTGTCTGATTCCCTCATCACTTTATTCATTCTCCTTCTCCTCTCCCGGACTCCTCCCAGAGACAAGAGGGGCGAGTAGAGACAAGGATGTGTGTAATAGTGTGTGTCGGGGATGGGGGGAGCTCCCCGCATCCAGGATGAAAGGCCAGGCTGACTGCCGCCGCCGCCTCCTGCCTAATTAGAGACCCCGGCCAGGCGCCCGACTTCTGAGTTCCAACTGCTGCATGGTCTCCTCCCAGCCCTGAGGCACAGCTGCAGCCCGACGGTGTGAAGAAGGGATTCCCAGCTCTGGAACCAAGCTCCAGGAGAGGGGAAAAATGGGGGGTGCAGACTTCAAGATTCTAGTCTTGGCACTTGGGGGGTACAACATCTAAACTTGTAAGGATGCGAGAGAGTGAGGAGGAGGGCCTTGGAATCCGGCCAGGTACTTCAGCCCCCTCCAAAGAAGTCTGAACTAGTCCTGGCTCTGAGAAGGAACTAGGGAGGGCCTAGCTGTCTAGCGAGAGTCGGAACACCACGTGGAGCTGCGAGTGAAGTTGGGCTATTCTCACATTGATCCGAGGAAAAGATTGTGCGGACCTCACTGGTGGGGAGGGATCAGAGATAGCTGGACCCCTTGCCCCAAATAAGCATCCAAGATGAATGGACAGCGTGGCAACACACCTCTTCCAGTTATTTCACCAGCTCCAAGTTCTGGCACCTCAACACCCACATACAGCACCTCCTCCACGGCAGACTTCGAGCTCTGGAGGCTAAGTAGCACGTTGGGATTCTGGAGGTCTTGCCTCTGGGTGTCACGCTCCTGTCCGGCGGAGAGAATGGGGCACTCCTGGCTGCTCAAGGCTCACCCTTAGGCAAGGGTGACAAGGAGAGTACAGGCCCAGGGGCGGGCCCTGCCGGGCGCTCCTCCCACACGGGTGTCAGGTTTACGGAACACAGCTCCCAGGCCAGACGCGCGGTGGCCCGGCAGATTCCATTTGCCTGACCCGGCCTGGCTTGACCCTGTCTGGACGCGCCATGTTCACGCGTGGATCCCGGAGACGCCGCTCCGGCCGTGTGGTGAGCGCGACTCAGGGCAGCGGTGGGGATCAGGGGTAAACTGAATAGATCCTGGAGAAGGAGCACAGGGGTAGTGAGGAACGGCTTCGCAGGCTGGGGAATCCCCATTCGCAGCTTTCCCTGGCCTGACGCTGAAGCTGCTTAAGGTGTAAGGTTGAAGGACCCTGTAAATATAGTAGCCCCAACTTAAGACCCGACTAGGTCTCCCTAATCACTTCCTAGAGCAGTTTGTTCGTCTGTTTGTTTAAAACAGGGTCTCTATGTTGTTCAGGCTATCCTTGAACTCACTATGTAACCCAAGCCAGCCTTGAATTCACTATGTAACCCCAGGCTGGCCTTGAACTAGTGGCTATCGTCCTCCTGCCTCAGCCGCTGGGATCACAGGCATGCACCACCACTCCTGGCTTCCCAGGGCACTTTTTTAGCACCCTAGGGACCTGGTGGGCTCCCCTTTCCTGTAGATTATGGGACGGAATTCTGAGAGTCAAAAGACTAGGTCTCTGGGTCTTAAGTTGAGCAGGGACCCCCTGAGTTTCTGAGGTAAGGGACCTCATATCTTGAGGGAACATAATGTGAGTGGTGGGATCCTATACTCGTGGAGTGTCCAATCCTTGTGGTCAAGGGACTGGGATTTGGGTAACAAGGCTACCAAGTTTCCACCTGAGTCTGAGAAATTTTGACATCGTAAGTAGGAGGGTCTTTTTTTTTTTTTTTTAAGTCTTTTACCAGCAATTGTGGGATACCCGTTTTGGATTTTGGTGGTCTAGAGAATTGAATAGTCCTAATATATAAGGAGGGGTAAATGCCAAGGTCTTGGTGTGGAGGTTTCTGAGTGCAGCAGAAGCCTCCTAACATCCTAGGGGAGAATCTGTAGTTCTTTGGGTAAGAGGGAATAAAGCTACAGCTTCAGGGAGGGGTTCTTTGCCTTCTGAAGGAAACAGCAGTGTTCTTGTGGTGATCCCAATGAAGGATGAGGATGTCAGACTCCTAGCCAGGGCAGTCCAGTGCTGCTGACTTCTTGGGTGGAGATGAGACCAGGATGAGGCCTGGAAGGGGATGCCTAGATTAGGGACTCTGCTTTGTCGGGGTATTCTGATTCTAGAGGTGTTTGAGCCCTGAGGTACTGAAGGTTGGTGAGAGGTGTCTGAAGCTGGGAGGGGGGCAGCCTTGGCAGGGCGATTCCCTGAAAGGGTGACGAGGGGGGTGGGGGGGCTTGGTAGCCTCAGATGCCCGCCTCTGGCTCCGTTGTGCCCCTCCCCCCGCACTCCAGGCGCTGTCCCAGCCTGCCCAGCGCTGCCCTGGTGGGACAGGCCCCAGCGTGCGGTCGCGGGCCTGGGAGTGGAGGAGTGTTGACTTCTCCCTCCCTGTTCTGGTGCCTTTCCCGGCCCTGCGTCTGCCCCCACCCACTACAGCCTCCAGAGGCGGAGGACCCAGACCGGGGCCAGCCTTGCAACTCTTGCAGAGAGCAGTGCCCAGGCTTCCTGCTGCACGGGTGGAGGTAAGAGACACACCCAAGGCCTCCCCATTGTCAGAGCCCCGCCCTGGGGGGGGAACACCTGGAGGCTCAGGCCACGCCCCTAGGCCCGGGTTCCCATGATAGACCTTGGTAAGGAAAAAGGAGCCTCAAGCTCTGCTGCGGAGCCCTGCCCCCTGACTCGTTACCTGGAGTTCTGTTTCCAGAAGAGCTCCACCCACTACAGAGCCCCAATAGTCCGCCTGAAGCTAGAGTCCCATCCCTAGGGATACCCTCCTTCCCCGGCCCTGACAACACCCACACGCTCCTCCCCTCTTAGTTCTTAGGCTCAGAACTCTTGTCCAAGGCCCATTGTCCTATTCTAGCTGGATCCCTGCCCCCAGAAGTTAATAAAAGACCTCAGAGAGAGTCCACAGGATCATCACCCCCAACACATGAGCAAGTTCAGAGCCTAGTCAGTTTCCCTACAAAGCGTCGACGCGTTCCTCAGGGAAAGCTCCTAAATTCCAGGCTGTCTTCGCAGTCCTACGCTCTCAGGCCCGCTGCCCAGAGAGTCCAACCCAGGGCCGGGGAGATGGCTCAGTGGAATAAGCACTTCCCTGGCAAGTGCAAAGGCCTGAGTTCAATCCTTGGTTCCAAAAAAAAACAGAGAGTCCAACCCAAGTCCCAAAGATAGAAGGTTAAGGGATGTCCTCGAGGCCCCACAGTCCCACCCCTTCATATCCTGCCGCCCAGGCTCCAAGCCCACACCTCCAGTTTCCTCAGCCCACATTTCACAGCTCTGCCATCAACCAGAAGCTGAGCCCCTCACAGGCAGTGCCCTAATCTCCACTGCCTGGCCAGAGATCCAAGCCACACCTTGGCTTAGACCCCTGTCAGCCCTAGCCCCCAGGTGCAGAGCCCTGTAATCTTTATGTCCTGCCTTTCAACATGATTTGGTGTGCTGAGGGAGCTGGGTGGGTCCAGATAAGCAACTGCTTCGTAATTGACCTACTGTCTCGCCCTGAAGAAAGATCTGCCAACACTGCAAATGCCCAAGGGAGGAGCACGCAGTGCACACAGTGCCTGTGGACCTGGAACGCATCATGTGTCGCCTAATCTCAGACTTCCAGCGTCACTCCATCTCTGACGACGACTCAGGCTGTGCATCCGAAGAGTATGCCTGGGTGCCCCCCGGCCTTAAGCCTGAGCAGGTGATCAAAGGCCAGCTACCCACTATCACTCTCCAGTGGGCAAGCATGCAGCCATGTGCACACATATGAAACATTTGCAGTGTCCTAACCTGTCTTGATAGAGGGGCAGTC